CTCAAGAAGCTCCCTACATTGGCATTTACTCCAACCAAGGCCAGCTTCGGGAGTTTGAAAACTCCGGTGCGAGCTCACTAGCTGGGGGTGCTTGCCAGCTCATTGGGGATTTCCCCGTATGCACAGAACTGGGGTCGGCTGGTGGTTCCAAGCGAAAAGTCACCAATTTCGCTGATCTTTGGAGCATCGGTTGCTCTGCAGCTGGGTTCCCTTAGATTCAGGAAGCAAGCACTGGCCTTTGCGGGACGTCAGTCCCGGCCAGTGTTACCTGAGCAAATGGAGTTTGAAGAAAAAGCTGTCGCAGCGAAAGTTGTCAAAGCAGCAGTTAAGGGTTTTAGTCAGCCCAAATAAAAAGGCTGGATGCTTCAAGCTTAGTCACCCAAGTATCATCTCATAGATGATCACCTGAGCTGCCGTTTGCCGATCACACTTGAAAGGCCCAATTAGAATGCTGTACAAAATGGAGCAGAAGCTCCCTTGTGCGTCTGCAAATTTAGATCAAGTTACCAAAACATTCATGGCCACCAAGGGATATCGCATAAAGGTTCGCATCGCATGCAGAAAGCTTGCGACCTGAGCACATGTGACCAAGATATACTTTCCAATACACCTGCTCTGAGGGAATCTTTGCATTCAGATCCTCGCTAGGTAGCAAAATAGCCGTGTTCAACGGACAAATGCTGCAGGCTGCAAATAGCTAATTACGCTAAAAGCAATCGAACTTCTTCTGTCGCTGGAAGAAGGCAAAGTTGCAGAATTGAACATCAGCAAGGTTGCTTTTGCAGTTTATCGCATCAAGCAGAGCGTGCCTAAATCAACATCATGACTGGGTGATATTATGCCTAGATCGATCAGAAAGCTTGAGCCCTCAACTTGGACAAACCTCTCATTGAAAGCGGTACTAGCAGTATACAAAGACCATCCTGCCAAATCCAATCAACTCGTCTTTCAAATCAAACCCAAACGTCACGATTCACGATTGACATCACACATCACTTTTTTCGATCGAGACTCCTCTCAACTCGTGCCCAGCCCGGGCCGTCCACGGGCCGAGTTCGCCAGGCCCACCCTCACTCCCACCTGATTCTTGGGCCCCAAGTTCTCGCCCACCACGGCGCTGTCCAAGCCGTATTTTCGCCTACACCGAGGCGCACAACGATTGAACCGCATCCAGTCGTCTCTCTCTCTCTCTCTCTTTGTGCGTGCCGACGGCTGTTTGTGGCCATTCTGTTGAATTGAGATTGCCAGGTCTTGGAATTCGATTGCACATCTCTCAACTTTGGCAAACGACACATGCTTGCCTGACTGGCTATCTGTCCAGAACCCAATGCCAGGAAACAACACCAGTACGGCTCTTCGCAACATGACAATATGGAAGGCGGAAAACGACGAGTAGTGGCAGTCGAACGTTAAATCTCTGCAGCCAACCCAATGATGCAAACTGTGATACTTATATAAATACATGTGTGGCTCTCAAGTGACGCTGTCTTCATATGTCTTCATTGTTTTCACCAGCTTCATTCATTTGCGCCGCAGCTTTGTGTGGTCTCACACTTACAGAGCAGAACATGTCGGAGCAACAGAGGTCAAACGAACATCTGGTAAGATGTCTAGTCCTTCAGCACATCTCCTTTTGATAACCCCTGAGGGCCCCACAAAAATCTCTTCTCATTCAAGATGGCGGCTGCATTCATCAGAAGTAATCCAGCCTATTGTTGAGGCAACTAACGGAGGGCCTGTTCACAATATATATTTATGACAGAGAAGTTAAACCGTCGGTTCTATCATAGCCACACAACAATGTGCTAAAGTTTGCAACTCCCGTTGGTGTATATATATATATATACAGTACATGTTCTAGCTCTCTCGAAAGTGGAAGGAAAACTCCAAACACTGAATACGCAAACAAAACTGGCTTCAAGTACAGTAATCATGTTGCCAACAATTGCCGAGACTTGGTATTGCGAATGTCCATTCTACTCGCAAACAAAGCCAACGCAACTCATCGCTGTGGGCTGTGGGAGGACAATACCACAACACCTCGGTAGCGCCGCTGGCCAATGGCCATGATAATCCCGGCCTCAAAGAGGTGTACGAGTCCAATCGCCATGCTCGCACAGTCGCACAGCTGCAGAGCTGTCGCCCTGTCCTTGGAGTAAGAGCTGGGAGAGATTCTGACGAACTGCTACATCCACGTATGATGTCCGTCCAAAGCTTCTTGCCACCGTAAATAAGCAGCTGGAAAGTGCTCCATACCTTTTGGATCCTTTTGGTATCAGACTCTCTGCAACCTGAAGATACTCATAGAGTCATGCAGTCATGCAGCACATGATTGTGCCTTTCTTCAATCCAGTATCTGGAGTTCTGTGAAATCTTCCGCTTGATCAAAACACAAAATAAAAGCACAGTCACTAGCAACAAGAAGCTACTAGTAACAAGGTGCATTACTAGTAGCTAAGGGCATTACTAGTAGACACAACAAGAATGGCGGACGCGTCGTGCGGACGCTCCAAGCATCGGTTCCTCGCGCTCCCCGCGTTCCGCGGAACGCCACGGGCTGAGCAGCGTTGGAGCGGCAGCGCCCGGGCGCTCCGGGGCTTCGGCTTGATCCAAAGGCCACAGAGATGTTCACGGCAGTTTGAGGCCCCAGTCATATGGCTATGGTTTAGGCTGAAAAAGAAGGTTTCTGACGCCAGAAGCATCTCGTGTGGAAGGCCCATTTGGTCCAAATGCTGGACCAAAAGATTGAAGTTGAGATGGCCTATGTGAGTAGTGAACAAACTATCTTGCACACTATCTGCTGGCATGGCACGTCTACATATATATATATATATACATAGATACATATATATATATATATACATACTTCCTTTTGAGCAAGGCATCGTCAAGGCTGCGGAAGGTTGATAGAGAGTCAGAGTCTGCCAGGCAGTCCGGTGGAATGGAATCGGAAAACTCAGCTATCATTGTCGGGTGGCAGGGGGTGGGAGTTCCATGCGAACATGAAACCGAATATTCTGACGACATTGTGAGCAGAGGGTTAGAATCGTTCCATGAGGAATGGAATGAAAGTTCAGAACATCTTGTTGGTCAGGGCTGCCCAAAGATCCAAAACTGGGGATGTTAGAGACAATTATCTAATATAGAGATTTCTAGTGCCAGTGTAGTCTGGACACCATGGCTATGTCTCGACTGGTGAAGTGGACCGTTGTTTGTGCGGAGCCTATGCTGGTGAAGTGGTACGTTTTGTCCGGCGAAACCGCATGTGTCCCCTGGTAGTGAAGAGTTACGTGTTTTAACTGCTGAGGTGTTTGACTACCTGGCCTGTTGTGAAGTGGTCCGGTTCTACCGGTGATGAAACTGAATAAACACGCCCTGGCTTCGGCCGCTAGGAGCTTCAAGTGCGCAGTATGTGTGTCGCAATGCACCACCAAAACTTCCAAGTACTAGTAGCAGCCAAACTGGGCCAAAGCTTTTTAAACTGCGAGCACCTTGAGCCTTGCGCTGCCAGCCTCCTCAGAATCGCTGAAGATATCCTGTCAACACGTGTCGGAGGTTGATGGATGGCCTGTGAATCAAATCACGATGGCCTTGCGAAACAAGAAGCTACTAGGAACAAGTGCATCGCTTCTAGTAGCAAGTGCCTTACTAGTAGTAACAAGAAGCTAGTAGTAACAAGTGCATCGCTTCTAGTAACAAGTACCTTACTAGTAGGTAACAAGAAGCTAGTAGTAATTAGAAATTGGTTTTGACCTCACTCTGTCTGCAGTTAGCCTGTCGCACCACCGTGGCCGGCGAAGTAGCAAGTCAAAGCTACACATCCACCCTGTTTTGGGCCAACAAGTTTGGACGGACCATTGTGGAACGTTCAAGGCCATCACATCAAATACATCCTGTCCAAGTCGGCCTCCCCTGCTCGCATGGCGGGAACCCCACGGATTGGGAGACCAATGAGCACGTTAGCGCATCGTCTCATTGTCATCCACCACTGGTGGGTTGGCCTCAATCTCCCAATGGCCATGGCAAGCACCAACCAGGAGGGCCCAGGCATTGCCGGCCCCGCACCACGCGCCCCACACCCGGCCAACGGTGTGCAGAGACCCTAGGTCCACTGCGGGTAGGGCTCAAGCTCTTCTCAGCAACATCAAGGTGTTGCGAATGCTTTGAGCACGGACCTTGCTTTATGCTAGAGTTCAGTAAACACCCTTGTGGACCTGTCAGTTGCATCCCTCTAGTTGTATCTTCTTTCAAGGCCTCAAAACTCAAGAAACCTTCAGGCCTCTGCATACTCGCAAAAACGGAAACCTGCTGTGAAAGTTTGAGAATTTACAGATCATACAAGGCAATGAAAATCTGCGCAAATGTGTCAGACTTAACAATATGGCTGGTCCATGCCGCACCTTGCCGAAATCAGGTCGCAAGGAACTCCCACGCGGGACTTTGCCTACAGCGTGAGTTTCGTGGTGCTGTCTAGAAGTCATGTTTTGGCCCTGCAAGGCAGCACAAATGGAGAAGTCAAGCGGGGTTGAATGCGACATAAAACTTCCATAACGTCTTCGAACGACCCCAGTGAAGTATTTTGGAGAGATAACTCAACAAGTGCCTGCTTGATATGACTAGACTGTGTTCTAGATGATCTAGCCCTAAGCGTAGGTGCTCTTGATCCAATGCCAGGTGTATATAGTGGGTTCACGTTTTTTTCTATGTTCTAAGGTGAGACATCATTCAAAGAGTGAAACTCAGGCCCTGTTCGAGGCTCAAAAGTTCTATATACAGCATGTGTGATGAGGTCACCTCTTCATGTGGGTATGATGTATGTCGAAGTACAAATTGATACAGTACTCAGCACTCATTCACTAGAACAGTTGATCTCATCCAGAGTTCTCTAAGGGAAAAGCGGAAGCATGTCTGAGGACCTTTGCAGCTTGCAAGGTCAAAAGCACATAGGGTAGCCTGCGCCATCTCACGGGCTCATTGCAACTCCCTCTGCGTTCCTATTCCTAAGATGCCGATGGAAGAGCGGACATGCCCAAAGGCTGGGCCACCCAAAACCTGATGGTCGCGTCGTCACCTACAATGCCTGCAATGCCGAAAGGCAAGGGGTCTAGTGATTCAGGAAAGCAAGAACCAAGAGAATGACTTTTTGGCCAGGCGTCCTTGGCTTGATACTGCCAGAGCCTTGTTGGTAAGGACGTGGTGGCCTTTGCTTTGGGCCGCGCCGCACCAAAGTCGAGGTCCGTGAACTCCTCAGTGGGGCTGCAGGGTGAGTGTTATGAAGGAAACTGAGAAAACACCACATCCGGATCCAAAGTTCTTGCTCCTGGACGGAAGTTTCAAGTGGCTGTAAAAGGTTTCAGGAGCACATACGGAAAAGGTTCCAGACTTGCAAATGCAGGCAGCTTGTCCTGATATTTACCTGCAGAATGTCTTGTGGGAGGAGCGATACAATGAATATCAATTCATGAAGCATCGTGCAAGAGTCGAGTCGAGAAGGATCAGATCTTGCCTTGCATTCTGCAAGACCCTGCTCCAACCTGGCGGCGAGTGCCACGTTGTTCACTGTATATACTGTAACCGATTGGACCTTTTATCCGAGATTTCCTGAGGCATTGACCTAACCACCTCTGAACAGAAAGTCAACTCTGCAGCAAAAGCTGCATTATTGTTTCGCAAAGTGTTGATCATATGTCATCGGGGTTCAACCAAAGTTGGCGCTTTCAATGGAACGTCGCTCTTGGATGCCAAGCAACATCTCAAGCAGTTTGTCCGGGCGCCGGAAAAGCAGTGCACGCACCTGGCCGGCCACGAGCCCTCGACCGGATTTCTCTGGGTCGATGGGCTTGCGCCTCGTTGAAGGTCAACTCCGTGTGTTCGATCTTGCGCTTCTGTGTCCGCCATCGCCAATACCAATGGTACAATGCAGCACTGTGCATTCTGCAAGTGGTGTCCTGTGCTCGCAACGACAAGAATAGCCCGGCAAGGCAGCACTGACCGATAGTGACAGCAACGACAACCACACCAACAGCAACAGGAGCGGTGGCAACAGCAGCGACAATCACAATGACAACGACGACAACAAAGGCAACAGCAACAGCAGCAAGATCAACAGCAACACGGGTAACGCTTGAATGCTTGTGCAGGCCTCAACATATGTTTGCAAATCATGCAGCCAAAGCTCAAATACGCCTTTGCTGTTGGTCTTGTTGCAAAGCCTCGACAATTTCCTGACAGCAACACGCACGCACTTCAGCGAAGGTTGAGCTGATACAGCTGTTCAGGGGAGACCTTTCTGTACTCGGCCAGACCATGGTTTCCTTCTCTGCATCTGGGGTTGATGGGAAGTGGCGGGTTCCCCTGATGAAGTTGTGTTGAAGTTGTCACCAAATATTTCAAGGACCAACATTGTTGAATCTCCAGTACATCTATAGCAGGGTTCCGCTTGAGGCAAAAGAAGGGGAATAACTTGAGTGCGTCTTGGATGGTTTCTATACGCCTTGACGGGGTTCCTCTCGATAGATGACATGATCTGATCTGTGACTACCTCCTAACCATTCTGCAGTTGTTTGGTTCTCTTGGTTGTACATGTCTAAGGTTCTCCATCCCATGCATCCTCTGGTTGTTTGATATAAAGTAGATGATGTCAAATGGGAAAGCACGGAAGCAAACAAGGCACCTCCGTTATAGATGTTCGAATTGAGTTGACCAACTGCACCAACTAAGACCGACAAGTTGGAATCCAATCTGGTCTACTCACCTACACTTGTCCAAAACAACTACTGCACGCCCTAGTGTGTTGGGACAATCAATACTCGACAACTCATGCGCGCGGGAATGTTTCAAGCGGAGACAGTGATAGCCAAAATAGCCAAAATACATCAAAATACATCGAATCAAAATACACATTCAACCCACATGGTCATACATTCTCATACCCCGCATTCTGAAGCGAGGCAAACAGGCTCAGACTCACAGGAAGTCTTGCATGAATGTCAATGTTGCATCCGCCAAGTGGCCCTGCAAGCAAAGCCTCGATAACCATCTTTGTGATGTTGATGGAGACACAAGCCAGAGGGTAGTTCCTCGGGTCTCAACTCGTGGACTCTTGGCCCAAACACAATGATCTGTGGGTGGAGGACAAACACGTGAGCGTGCGTCTGCTTTTGGGCTTCTCCAAAGGGCCCAAATTCCCTAGCTGCTTTCCGGAAAAAAGAAGCTTGGACACTATGCATCACACACACTTATGATTGGGTGTACGGAACTGAATGCCAGCCTAAGAACCCAAGTCCTGAAAAGTCCAGGAGAACCCTATGGAGCCTGGAGGCCTTCAAAAGGAGAAAGGGCCAAAAGCTCAAGACCGAAAGCGACGAGCAGGTCGAGATGACGTCGTGCGCTCATGTCTGCCAAGCTCATTAGCACTTTACTGGAAATTGGAGTCAAAGCTAGTTCAAAAGTTCAAACAGCAGGTACGTGTAGCTGATCAGGCTGCATATCCTGAGGTCACCATAGAGAGCTTCGTTGGGCACAGCTCTATGGGCCTCCTGCGCCCCCCTGCTCATGGTAAAAGAAAACAATTCAAAAGAATCCCTGTGACTACAAGGGGCACACACACACACACACGCCTCCCCAAGGGGAGGCATCTCTGCCGTAGAGCGTCCTTGCGCCAAGGAGAAAGGGCAGGAACCCCCAGTAGCGTCAAAGTGGCGTCCTTGCACCTAGTAGTAAGGCCAGGAGCCCCTAGAAGCATCCACTCTAAGGTCCCGACGGGAGGGAGGGGTAGGGAGAAGAGAAAGAGAAAGAGAAGAAAGGAAAGGGGGAAGAAGGTGTTCCCAGCTACGACACAAGCGTCCAAGGACACACCAAAAAGAGAGGAGAAGGGTTCCCAGCTATGACGAAAGCATCCATGGACACCCAAACAAGAAGGAGGGAAAGGAAAGGAAGGAGAAAAGAGAGAGAGGGAAAAGAGAAGGAAGAGGACAGGTGTTCCCAGCTACACACAAGCGTCCAGGGACACACCAGTGAGAGAGAGGGGTGAACCTGAGTATTACATTCAGGAACACCCAAGATGACAAAAAGGGGGGAGAGAGGAGGGGAGGGGAGGAGGAAGGGGGCTAAGGTCGCGACAGACTCCAATGAGACTTGGGCCGCTACGGCCACGTACGCCGTGCCAAAATGGCTGGCTGCTTAGACCGCTGTGGTCACGTAAAGGCATGAGCCAGCTTGGAATTCAATACTCCAGCAAGTCTTGGCAAATAACTTTGGCATAAGCCTACTCCGCCGGCTCTGGGCACGTACATCTCCGGGCAGGGGAGATAACGACAAACCCCCGTTCGACGGGTCCACGGGAGGCACTCTGCGGGCTCATCCCGGGCTCTCACTAGGAGAGACACACTTATGATTCGGTGTACGGAACTGAAGCCAGCCTAAGAAACCAAATCCTGAAAAGTCCAGGAGAACCCTATGGAGCCTGGAGGTCTTCAAAAGGAGAAAGGGCCAAAAGCTCAAGACCGAAAGCAACGAGCAGGTCGAGATGACGTCGTACGCTCATGTCTGCCAAGCTCATTAGCACTTTACTGGAAATTGAAGTCAAAGCTTGTTCAAAACTTCAAACAGCAGGTACGTGCAGCTGATCAGGCTGCATATCCTGAGGTCACCATAGAGAGCTTCGTTGGGCACAGCTCTATGGGCCTCCTGTGCCCCCCTGCTCATGGCAAAAGAAAACAATTCAAAAAAATCCCTGTGACTACAAGGGGCACACACACACATCCACATCCACACACAAACGCAAACACACACTTGAAGAAAACGTTCGTAAGGTTGAAACTCCGGGTGGTACAAGAGATGCATTAACTCTTTACAATCTAGTGACCGCAATACCAGACTAGTGCAAGACGACCTGATCCTGTCAACAGTAATATGCAAACAGCAAGGCGAAAGAGCCCACAACAATATAGTGTGATTCATCTTCTCATAAAGCAGGCACATAGCGTCCCACATTGCTTCACCACGAGCTGACAGCGTCTTCGTTGGGTGGTGCCTGTCAGTCGTGTACCACCCCCCCTCCTAAATTAATCCTAAATGCCCCTGGAAACGGGGTTTGACACACAGCACACAAATATATATATATATATATATCCACGACCAATGGTACTTCCACCGGTGTTCTCTGATGTTGGGCTTTTCACTGTGCAGTTCGAGGCGCTGCTCTACATCTTGGGCCAGCAAATAGGCAGACTTTAAAAGCTCGAAGTGGTGGGAAAAGAAGTAGAACATTTGCCTCGGCTCAGACTGGAAACATCTCATCGATCTGTCCGTCGTTGCAATGGTTGCAAAGGATCCGAGTATATCCAGGTCAGATTCTTGTCGAAGGAGGGGACCAGACTTGCGTTTGGGCCAAGAGTAATGGATGAAATGTCTTTCACCATTTCCCTAAGCGATTGTTGAAAGCTTGTGTTCAGTGCGTGACTCGGATCATGCGCTCGAATGCTGTAACCCTTCTAGAAGAACATTCCTCGGGCCTCCACGCCATACTGGGGTGACTCGGGTGTTGCAAGACCATTCCCGATGGGCTTGTTGCCATGCTGCAAGACATTCAGCAAGCCGCCAGAGCGGTTTAAATCTGTACGCGGGTCGCCACCCTGGAAGCCAAGCACTTCCCAGTGACGACCGATGCTCGGACAAACCTGGGAAGCGAAGAACATTGGCCCAAGACTGCACAGCTTTGCATAACATAATTCATCCCAATGAAAACATATCAAGTTCCCTCTTTACTGTAGCATGCATGCCATAAACCGCTCATTCAAAGTTTGCTAGGCGCGCTGAGGGAGAAGACAGAACGAGGGTAATCAATTTCTGCACAATAGCTATTGAGCAAGAGCCAAGGCGCCTTCGTTCTCGACAGCTTTGTGTAAATTGTCCGCAGCATACGATGGTGCGTGGTAATGTTGAAATCCTCGGCACATGAATGAAGTCATTGGACAATGGTTGTCATCGATGAAATTTCAGTCCTCCAAATGACAGAATGGAATGAAAGGGCTGTCTGAAATTCGTTTGCTAGACTTCATGTCCTAGAACGCTTCAGACGTCTAAACTCTCGTGGAAGATTCTCCGAAACATGCCACCTGTTTCGTGCTTATTTGCGACAGTCGCCACTAATCTATACATCAATCAATCAATCTCTGGCCCTTCACTCTGCCGGCAAAGAGCAGCCGGACCATTAGGACTGCCAAGCTGCGAAGTGAGTGACTTTCAGGAAAAGCACCAAGTCTTTCTCAGCTGCCAACCTCAAGGGATACATCGAGAACACAGCAAGAAGTTTCTGGTCCAATCAGTCTTCGCTTAAAACTGAATCGTGGGAAAGGCCAAGGTGCTTCCTGTCGAGGCCAGGCACATCTGACATAGGCCTCCGTCGCTTCAGGCAGCCGCAGCCAAGATCATCCTCCTCCACCATCCTCAACACGTGGCTTCACGAAATCAGCCCATCCCCAAAGCGTCTGAAGTCAGCTTAGTGCACTCAAACGCTTCAGAAAATGATCGTATGCAAATGGTGACCTGTTAATCGATGAAACTCGTTCATAGATCCCTCCGAGGTGCCAAGACAGGGTGCCCAAACTCGAGCAAACTAGTAAATGGATGCTACACAAGATCCTCTGAGCTTGGTTATTGTTAACAACAAGCAAATGAACAGCACACTTTGTTTGTGGGTACATGTCCTCACTTTTCACATGTTTCCAACATAAGATCCAGAGTGTTGCTCTTTCCTTCATATTTTTTAGTGTGCGAACAAATCAATGTGAAGCATCCCGCGAATAGACATGTGTCCAACATGTACCAAATAACCGTTTCCGCTGGAAGCAAAAAAGGATTGTTTGTTGTCAGTGTTTGACTATACTTAACTCTTGAGCGAAGCAGTTTTCCGCTTGGGCATCTATCTCCAAAGTTTCACTCTTTCTCCCATTCTCCCTCTGAAGCTTTTCGGTGATCACTCACTGTAGCCACCCATTGGTGGAGCAAAAACCATATGAAGCTGAACAAGACGGATACATCCATCCTTGTCTTATTGAGTGTCGTGTGCATATCGATTTCAATCAACACTTATGTATCTCTGAACCTGCAAAGCTCATGAAGCTGGGCATCTCTCGGAACTCTCTAAGTGCTTCTTTGTCAATCTCAACTTGCAGCAGCCATTGGTTCACCTGGTCGGGCTGTGTGACACACCCATCATTCCTCATTCTACTGTGGGCTGGGTGCTTGAACTCTTTCCCTCAGCTTTCCAAGCAAACAACAACACATGTGCACATTCTCACAAACCGGCACCCTGCAACACTCCCTTCTCAGGTTCAAAGGACAGGGCTTTGCAATGTCCGTGCGACACTGTGAGAATGGCTTTCACCAGGGTTCTCCAGGAACATGTTTGACAGCCCAGTTCGAGGAGGCCTGATGGCCAACAGAAATGGAAGGGGCTCATACACCCTTGGAACTGTCAAACGAGTGGCCTCTTTGTAAGAGATTGGAGTGCTCAGCAGGTCTTGCTTGGCCTCGAATCTTGCAAGCACCAAAGCGGCCCCAGGTCAAAGCAAGCATTGAGACCCAAGATCTGAAACCCATCAACCAAATGGGCCTTATGGATCCCTTTGACGTGTCAAAGAAGCATACCATGGCCTACATACCATGCCTACAGTGTTGTAGCAAAAGTACAAACGCCAGTCTTCAGTCCATTTGTGCCAAGCTGCAGCCACAACGCCCTGTGTTTCTCGTGCGTTCTTGGCCAATTCCTCAGTCTTCTGGGCAATCTCCTGACAGTAAAGCACGACTGTGGGCTTCAGCTCTGAAGCAAAGAAAGGAAAGCAAAACAAACCTTTAGCAATCTTGGCCAACTCCTACATACGTGCGCTCTGTGAGCTGATCGGAGCCGCACTATGGACGAGACATTAAAAGCATACTAAAAAAAGCATGCTGACTCAAATCAAATAGTCAACAGTCAAGTATACGTAGCTCTTTTTGATGCCCAACAAATGGAAATTACAAAGGTAAGTATACTATCAATGTCACAAAAGAAGTTAAACGGATGTTTGTTCCAGTGAACGGGGGGGGTAAAGCAGAACTGAAAGGGCTGCTTGCAAAGTTATATAATCACTGTTAACCAAAACGATGTCAACCTGGGAACCCAAGCGTTCGGAGCTTCAGAGCATTTCGACGTACATTTTTCTCATGTTTGCTTTGAGAAGGGACGCACGTCGAGACTTGAAGAAAACTCATCTTAGGGAAACAAACAAAACAACTATATATAGTAGTTTTAGTATGCTTAAGTAACTACTAGCAATGGCCTCCAACCTAAGAGTGATGGCCTCCAACCCAAGAGTGATGGCCTCCAACCTACTCGCGATGGCCTCCATCCTAATAGCGACTTAGGGAAAGGTTTGAGATTTTCCGCTTTTCGACAACGCCCTCGATGGATGACTCCACGTCTCACCGTCACGAGCGGTCTCCTCCCATTCCTTCTCCAGGTCAGAGTCAGAATCAACCTTAAGCTGGCAACTGGCATGGTTTGTCTGTTTGTCACTCTCTCTCTCTCTCTCTCTTTCTCTTTCTATCTAAAGAAATTCAGAAGTATCATGTAGTATCACCAAACCAGCACAAAACTCCTTCACCTATTGTTTTTGTTTCACCAAACGATGCCCTTGTCATGCCACTGTACTTCGAAAACATCTACACACTCTCTACCAATGCAACTCTGAGCATATAAATTGAGACTCAGACGCAAACTCACGACGTGGTAATATTTTTTCCATGGAATTCACGTAGAATTATTGACAGTTACAGTACAGCAAGTCCAAACTAGTGTTGTCACGCGAAGCTCCGGCACGTATTCGTTGGGAGGGGCATGCACTCCCAGCCCGTCCCAAATGTTGACTACATCTTGCAGACAAAGGGCTACAACCGCATCCACGTTCGAGGGCTCTTCATTTTGACGCGCCACATCATCCCACTCCTCTTCTTGCGAAACCGAAATGGCTGCCTCGGTTGATGAGTCGGCTCCACGAGCTCTGATGGCCAGCCGTTCATCGGTGTTCTGTTCCGTAGTCTCTGAACGCTGGCAATGAACGCATAGTTCTGCCACGCGCGGCACTTGACGACAAAACTACATTCCCGGAACACTTGCTTGCACAAAGATAATGGTTGGTTTTTTCCCCACCTGTCAGGTGAGGGTTGTTAGATTTTATGTCAGCCCCATCTCCCCCGCATCCTCCTTCTCCTCCTCCTCATCCTCCTCCGCCGGACCTCAACCTCGACCATCCACGCCCAGTGTTCCCTGCCGGACCTCAACCACGACCATCCACGCCCAGTGTTCCCTGCCGGAC